GAGATCTACACTTACCCTGGTTTGTTTATGAGACCTACACTTACCCTGGTTGGAGTATGAGACCTACATTTACTCTGGTTTGAGTATGAGACCTTCACTTACCCTGGTTTGTGTATGAGACCTACACTTACCCTGGTTGGAGTAGGAGACCTACACTTACCCTGGTTTAAGTAGAAGACCTCCACTTACCCTGGTTGGAGTAAGGAGACCTACACTTACCCTGGTTTGAGTATGAGACCTACACTTATCCTGGTTGGAGTATGAGACCTACACTTACCCTGGTTTGTGTAGAAGACCTGGTTGGAATATGAGACCTACACTTACCCTGGTTGGAGTATGAGATCTACACTTACCCTGGTTTAAGTAGAAGACCTACACTTACCCTGGTTTAAGTAAAAGACCTACACTTACCCTGGTTTGTGTATGAGACCTACACTTACCCTGGTTTAAGTAGAAGACCTACACTTACCATGGTTTAAGTAGAAGACCTACACTTACCGTGGTTTAAGTAAAAGACCTACACTTACCCTGGTTGGATTATGAGATCAACACTTACCCTGGTTTAAGTAGAAGACATACACTTACCCTGGTTTGTGTATGAGACCTACACTTACCCTGGTTTGAGTAGGAGACCTGGTTGGAGTATGAGACCTACACTTACCCTGGTTGGAGTAGGAGACCTACACTTACCCTGGTTTAAGTAGAAGACCTATACTTACCCTGGTTTGATAACCCTGCTGGCCTCCCTCAGGTAGTCTGGTAGATTTTTTCCCATCAGTGACAAACAGAACACTGCCACATCAACACTCTCATTCTTCAACGGGACCTTCAGTCAAAATATTACGCATTTGTTATATTCCAATATAATAAAAATGTCAAAAGTTTGAAAGCTGTGCATGAAGCAGACTTCAGTTATAAGCTATTCAGTGTGTGTAAAACAACTTATTTATGGATAGTCAAACGTTACAGACTAATTATGTTATAGTCACACTTTAGAAATGTCAAACTTATTTTGAGTTATATTTATGTGACTAATTTTGTATTTGTTATATTTATGTGACTAATTTTGTCTCACCTTAGCCATGTCACAGACCTATTTTGAGTTATATTTATGTGACTAATTTTGTATTTGTTATATTTATGTGACTAATTTTGTCTCACTTTAGCCATGTCAGACTTATTTTGAGTTATATTTATGTTACTTATTCTGTCTCACCCTGGACATGCCAGACTTATTTTGAGTTATATAAATGCGATTATTTTGTCTTACCTTAGCCATGTCACAGAGTTATTTTGAGTTATATTAATGCGATTATTTTGTCTCACCTTAGCCATGTCAGAGTTATTTTGAATTATATTAATGCGATTATTTTGTCTCACCTTAGCCATGTCACAGACTTATTTTGAGTTATATTAATGCGATAATTTTGTCTCACCTTAGCCATGTCACGGACTTATTTTGAGTTGTATTGATGTGACTAATTCTGTCTCACCTTAGCCATGTCACAGACTTATTTGGAGTTATATTGATGTGACTTATTCTCTCTCACCTTAGCCATGTCACAGACTTATTTTGAGTTATATTAATGCGATTATTTTGTCTCACCTTAGCCATGTCAGAGTTATTTTGAATTATATTAAGGCGATTATTTTGTCTCACCTTAGCCATGTCAGAGTTATTTTGAATTATATTAAGGCGATTATTTTGTCTCACCTTAGCCATGTCAGAGTTATTTTGAATTATATTAAGGCGATTATTTTGTCTCACCTTAGCCATGTCAGAGACTTATTTTGAGTTATATTGATGTGAATTATTTTGTCTCACCTTAGCCATGTCACAGACTTATTTGGAGTTATATTGATTTGACTTATTCTGTCTCACCTTAGCCATGTCACTGACTTATTTTGAGTTATATAAATGCGATTATTTTGTCTTACCTTAGCCATGCCACAGAGTTATTTTGAGTTATATTAATGCGATTATTTTGGCTCACCTTAGCCATGTCACAGACTTATTTTGAGTTATATTGATGTGACTCATTCTGTCTCACCTTAGCCATGTCACAGACTTATTTTGAGTTATATAAATGCGATTATTCTGTCTCACCTTAGCCATGTCATAGACTTATTTTGAGTTATATTAATGCGATTATTTTGTCTCACCTTAGCCATGTCACAGACTTATTTTGAGTTATATTAATGCGATAATTTTGTCTCACCTTAGCCATGTCACGGACTTATTTTGAGTTGTATTGATGTGACTTATTTTGTCTCACCTTAGCCATGTCACAGACTTATTTTGAGTTATATTAATGCTATTATTTTGTCTCACCTTAGCCATGTCACAGAGTTATTTGAGTTATATTGATGTGACATATTCTGTCTCACCTTAGCCATGTCACAGAGTTATTTGAGTTATATTGATGTGACATATTCTGTCTCACCTTAGCCATGTCACAGAGTTTTTTGAGTTATATTAATGCGATTATTTTGTCTCACCTTAGCCATATCACAGACTTATTTTGAGTTATATTAATGCTATTATTTTGTCTCACCTTAGCCATGTCACGGACTTATTTTGAGTTGTATTTATGTGATTATTTTGTCTCACCTTAGCCATGTCACAGAGTTATTTGAGTTATATTGATGGGACTTATTCTGTCTCACCTTAGCCATGTCACAGAGTTTTTTGAGTTATATTAATGCGATTATTTTGTCTCACCTTAGCCATATCACAGACTTATTTTGAGTTATATTAATGCTATTATTTTGTCTCACCTTAGCCATGTCACAGAGTTATTTGAGTTATATTGATGGGACTTATTCTGTCTCACCTTAGCCATGTCAGAGTTATTTTGAGTTATATTAATGTGACTTATTCTGTCTCACCTTAGCCATGTCACAGAGTTATTTTGAGTTATATTAATGCGATTATTCTGTCTAACCTTAGCCATGTCACAGACTTATTTTCAGTTATATTGATGTGACTTATTCTGTCTCCCCTTAGCCATGTCACAGAGTTTTTTGAGTTATATTAATGCGATTATTTTGTCTTACCTTAGCCATGTAACGGACTTATTTTGAGTTGTATTTATGTGATTATTTTGTCTCAACTTAGCCATGTCACAGACTTATTTTGAGTTATATTAATGCGATTATTTTGTCTTACCTTAGCCATGTCACGGACTTATTTTGAGTTGTATTTATGTGATTATTTTGTCTCACCTTAGCCATGTCACAGACTTATTTTGAGTTATATTGATGTGACTTATTCTCTCTCACCTTAGCCATGTCACAGACTTATTTTGAGTTGTATTGATGCGATTATTCTGTCTCACCTTAGCCATGTCACAGAGTTATTTTGAGTTATATTGATGTGACTTAATCTGTCTCACCTTAGCCATGTCATAGACTTATTTTGAGTTATATTGATGCGATTATGCTGTCTCACCTTAGCCATGTCACAGAGTTATTTTGAGTTATATTGATGTGACTTATTCTCTCTCACCTTAGCCATGTCACAGACTTATTTTGAGTTGTATTGATTTGACTTATTCTGTCTCACCTTAGCCATGTCAGAGTTATTTTGAGTTATATTTATGTGACTTATTCTGTCTCACCTTAGCCATGTCACAGACTTATTTTCAGTTATATTGATGTGACTTATTCTGTCTCACCTCAGCCATGTCACAGACTTATTTTGAGTTGTATTGATGCGATTATTCTGTCTCACCTTAGCCATGTCACAGACTTATTTTGAGTTATATTAATGCGATTATTCTGTCTAACCTTAGCCATGTCACAGACTTATTTTCAGTTATATTGATGTGACTTATTCTGTCTCACCTTAGCCATGTCACAGACTTATTTTGAGTTATATTGATGTGACTTATTCTGTCTCACCTTAGACATGTCACAGACTTATTTTGAGTTGTATTGATGTGACTTATTCTGTCTCACCTTAGCCATGTCAGAGTTATTTTGAGTTATATTAATGTGACTTATTCTGTCTCACCTTAGCCATGTCACAGACTTATTTTGAGTTGTATTGATGTGACTTATTCTTTCTCACCTTAGCCATGTCACAGGCTGTCACATGTTTGTTGGTAGCCACCAGGTCAAATGAGTGTACTTTGTTTGGTAGGGTGCGGGCTATAATTGCATCACCACATCCAAAGTCTGCGACCACCAAATTTTGTGACCTGAAATTAGAAATAATTCGACATAGAGCAGAGATCAATATGACAGATTATGGTTTGGTCAAACTCTGCTACAAGACAATGAGGCTCGATGGTTACCTTAAACGACTTAAACGTCAAGTACTTCAGTGATTAAATGTTGTTGGTTACCTAAGCACACTTAACAGTAAAAGCAATGTAATAAAATAATTAAATATTGTTGATTGATAGACATAAGGTTACAAGTCAGAGATCAATACCAGGTGAGCGATGCAGTATTAAAAAGAAATTGTTTAAATTAACAAAAGGCCATTTGTCACTAACCTGGTGATGTTGACACGGTTGAATTAAGCCACTTGTCACTAACCCGGTGATCATGTTGACACAGTTTAATTAAGCCATTTGTCACTAACCTGGTGATCATGTTGACACAATTTAATTAAGCCACTTGTCACTTACCTGGTGATGTTGACACAGTTTTATTAAGCCACTTGTCACTTACCTGGTGATGTTGACACAGTTTAATTAAGCCACTTGTCACTAACCTGGTGATGTTGACACGGTTTAATTAAGCCACTTGTCAATTACCTGGCCTGCAGCTGCCCAATGATAACGCTGACTGGGTTGACAGGCCACTTGGCCACCTGTGACTGGAAACCCTGGTGGTACACCTGGAAGGCCTCTTTATCTTGCTCAAACATTACATATGACTCACTCCCCGTCTGGCTGTACAATTGCTCATTGAGAAAGCGGAATCTAGCTGACTTGAGTTTGTCCAGCATGCGTTGTTTGAGTGAGAGAGTTGTCTGCCCTGACTTGCTTGATTCTGCCTGTACAGGTTGTTTTGACACAGACACAGAGGGAGGAGAAGCAGACAACATTTTATCCAACACTTTCACTTGAAATTTTTCATTCACTCGTTCCTTTCCTTGTTTTCTGTTACTTTTTACACCTGGTTGTACCAGATCTTTGTCATTTATCAAAGTTTTATCACATTTGTTTTGCTTTAGTTTCTTTAGGAAAGGATCTGTGATTTTGTCTTTTTTCTTTGTCTTTTTACCTTGACTACCCGGTAACACAACTTTGTTGTAGACATTTTCTACTGTATCTGATGTGTTAGTATGTTTTACCCCTGACTGTCTTCGTTCCTTCCCTAGGATTGTTTCACCTGTTGGTCTATCACCAGGCGGCTGTACTGTCACACTGCCAGAATCAACATCATCATGTATTATTTCATTTTTCATCACCGACAAATGCTTGTACTTATTCCTTTTATTTGAATTTTTCTTTTTCCTCTTCTTTTTCTCACCTTTATAAGTGTTCTGATAGTCCGTTGGTGATACCTGTTGAACGTTTTTCTGTTTTTTACTTGGACTTTGATTTTCACCTTGCTGTGCCTTTCGTTTGATGCCATTAACAGGGCTACAGTGTGTAACGTTGTGGTCGCTCTCCTCTGTAGGAGGAATCCTGTAGGCCTTCTCCGATTCTTTTCTACCTTTGGATAATTTCTGCTTGTTTTCATTCTTCTTGCCCTCCAACATTGGCCTAGAACTCACATTTTTGGAAACTTTTGTTTTTCCAACATCAGATTCAATTTTAGCAGGTGTTTTTTTTAGATGTGTTTGTTGCTTCTACAAGATAAAAAGAAATAGAAACAATTTTAGAATTCTGATTAAGACCCTTAAGACCTTTCCATCCATGACTAATATTTGATTCGACCATATCTGGATCTTAAGAAGAAGATTTTTGAAATGTAGCCAATTTGATCATTTATGGCCCTATCCCTCAGGCCCATGGGGACGCCCTACCCCTCAGGCCCCTGGGAAGGTATTTCCATATAACTTTCAGTTTGCTTTTGACCACAAAACCTTCTTGCAATATTTGATTGAAATTGGTTTAGTAGATATGGAGAAGTCAAAAATGAGAATGGTCTCAGATGATATAAAAATATTCTAAATATGTCCAAAAGTGTTAAACAGTAGCAAAATGTACTTCTTCCCCACGGATGCAGGAGTTATAAATTATCCAAATCTGATTAAGTACTTTTTAGTTTGGACCTTTCGATCCAAATGACTGGATTCCAGCATATCTGGGTCTAAAAATGATTTGTATGACCCTTTTTAGCCCTATCCCTTAGGCCCTAGTTGGTGGTGATGGTAGTAAGGAAAGGGTGTGGGGTGGGTGGTGATGGTAGTAAGGAGAGGGTGTGGGGTGGGTGGGGTGGATGGTGATGGTAGTAAGGACAGGGTGTGGGATGGGTGGTGATGGTAGTAAGGAGAGGGTGTGGGGTGGGTGGTGATGGTAGTAAGGAGAGGATGTGGGGTGGGAGGTGATGGTAGTAAGGAGAGGGTGTGGGATGGGTGGTGATGGTAGTAAGGAGAGGGTCTGGGGTGGATGGTGATGGTAGTAAGGAGAGGAAGTTCAATAACTCACAAACCATACAGGGTAGTTGCAGTTAAAGTTCAATAACTCACAAACCATACAGAGTTGTTGCAGTTTAAGTTCAATAACTTACAAACCATACAGAGTTGTTGCAGTTAAAGTTCAATAACTCACAAACCATACAGGGATGTTGCAGCATATTACACATAAAATATGACAAATTTTGAAAAGTTCAAAGAGATCAAAAATAGTGCCCCAGTACCTTTGCTGCCCTGGGTTGGTGAACGGGGTTGAAGAGACTGGAGTTGAGGTCATCTGCAGCCTCTCCCACTGCCCAGCCTCCTACAGAGAAGTCCATGACCTGATAGAAAATTAGATATATCGATGGTTATTTAGTGTTATTAGACGATAGACCACACAAGTACATGTATTATTTTTCCAACAGAACACAAATTTAAAGTACAACACTCTTCCAAAAACCACCCCAATCTTTCTTTACAGAAAATTACAAAATAATCAGCATATTTGCATGTGTTATGGTTGAATATAACGATGATGAGAAAAATGTAGAAAAATATTCAAATCATGAGTTATGTATTAAACATCTTGTGTTTAGGTCCTATTAACAGCTATATGGTCAGTACATTTACAAGTACAAGACATGGCGGTCAGTTTTTGTGTAAACCTTTGTATGCCTATTTTATGCTTGGTCACCAAGATAATCCAGTTATTTAAATTACTGGTAGGCTGTTTTCCACATGTAAATATTTGACACATGATAAAAGATGACAAGAAGCATGTTGACAAAAAAGTGGAACCTTTGGAATAATGCTTGACAAAGGAATTGACAATAGACTAATTAAACAAATAGTCTAACAGTGATCAAAACTATGAAATGAATATTGAGGAAATCCCATACTAACCAAATGAATCTAATATTTGTGCTACCCTTACTGGTGATACATCTATTGATAAAATGTGACTTTAATGTGCTATTCAGTTCTAATTAGAGCTGTACATGTAGGTTGGTTAGGTGCTTAACAAGTTCTCAACACATTTGACCCCTGCGATACTGAATTCAGGGAAAAGTAAATCATTTGGACGAAGCTGAGAGCTCTCTATCTGGGCAGGCTACTGGCCAAACATCATCACTCTTCACTTTTTGGTTCAAAGGGGTTTGACTTTATTTTTCAACACAATGAAACCCTTTTATCAAAGAAGCTAACCACCTGACATTAGGACTCTAGGCCTATTAGTGCTTCAGAAGAAGTTTTTGACATTATTAACCCCAATGACCTCTTTTAAAGGCAAAGGTCATTCATCCAAGTATGCTACTGGCCAAATATCAGGATTCTAGGCTTTTTGATTCTTTTTCAGAAGTTGATTGAAGTTTTTGACATATTTGATCCCTGTAATCTTGAATCTAGTTCAAGGCATTTTTATTCGCAAACTTTGTTGCGCTCCATCTCAGGAAACCACCAGCTTGGGATATTTTACCCCTGTCTGTGCTTAAGCTTGGCAAAATTTGCTTAAAGCACTTCTTTTTCTGTTTGCAAATAAGGATTATGTTAAGCAACTTTAAGTAAACACTGTATAGTGATTTGGACATCCAATTGAACTGTAAAGTATATATGTACTGTAGTAGTTTATTTAATATTTAAGTTCTGCATTTATGTACATTGACGCTCCAAATTGTGGAACTGATCTAATTCTGGTTCAGTCACTTTGGTCATTATGTGGAACTGATCTGATTCTGGTTAAGTCACTTTGGTCATTATGTGGAACTGATCTAATTCTGGTGAAGTCACTTTGGTCATTATGTGGAACTGATCTGATTCTGGTTAAGTCACTTTGGTCATTATGTGGAACAGATCTGATTCTGGTTAAGTCACTTTGGTCATTCTGTGGAACTGATCTGATTCTGATTAAGTCAGTTTGGTCATTATGTGGAACTGATCTGATCGGTTAATTCACTTCAGTCATTCTGTGGAACTGATCTGATTGGTTAAGTCACTTTGGTCATTCTGTGGAACTGATCTGATTCTGATTAAGTCACTTTGGTCATTATGTGGAACTGATCTGATTGGTTAAGTCATTTTGGTCATTATGTGGAACTGATCTGATTGGTTAAGTCACTTCGGTCATTATGTGGAACTGATCTGATTGGTTAAGTCACTTCAGTCATTCTGTGGAACTGATCTGATTGTTTAAGTCACTTCAGTCATTCTGTGGAACTGATCTGATTGGTTGTCACTTCAGTCATTCTGTGGAACTGATCTGATTGGTTAAGTCACTTCTGTCATTCTGTGGAACTGATCTGATTAGTTAAGTCACTTCAGTCATCCTGCGGAACTGATCTGATAGGTTAAGTCACTTCAGTTATTATGTGGAACTGATATGATTGGTTAAGTCACTCCAGTTATTATGTGGAACTGACCTGATTGGTTAAGTCCCTTCAGTCATTATGTGGAACTCATCTGATTGGTTAAGTCCCTTCAGTCATTATGTGGAACTCATCTGATTGGTTAAGTAACTTCGGTCATTCTGTGGAACTGATCTTATTGTTTAAGTCACTTCAGTCCTTCTGTGGAACTGATCTTATTGTTTAAGTCACTTCGGTCATTCTGCGGAACTGATCTGATTCTGATTAAGTCAGTTTGGCCATTATGTGGAACTGTTCTGATTGGTTAAGTCTCTTCAGTCATTATGTGTAACTGATCTGATTGAATAAGTCATTTTGGTCATTATTTGGAACTGATCTGATTGGTTAAGTCACTTCGGTCATCATGCGTCATATACGTAACATACTGCTATTGTCTGATAAGAAATAAGTGGGTTTTTTTTTTTTTGACAAATTTAAGTATTTCCGACAGCTAGAAATTAGAATAGCCATTCTGTTACAGACGTTTAAATAAGTAACATATATAGTGCACATAATAAAAAAAATCTTTAAATCTGTGTCTTCAATCACTATTAATCTTAGTACATTTTTAGACTTTGCTTTGTTTACCATGTATCGCTCCTTATACTTCACTGAATTGCATGAATAGAAATTTCCAGAAACAAGTTTCTTAGATGTTTTTTTTTACTAGAACCACAGGAGCCTGAAGTTCTGTCAATAATGAATAATAATAGTAATACAAAAAAAATACCAATAATGTGCTTCAAAATATTTTTTAAGCTATTATTGGTATTTTTTGTGTATTACTATTATTATTCATTATTGACAGAACTTTAGGCTCCTGTGCTAGAACATACTGATTTTCATATATTTGTAAGATTAATACACATTTAAGTGCATATTTTTCATATACAACATAAAGAGTTATAATTATTATGCTATTATACTTGAATACCTGACACTATACTGGATAGGGGTTGTGAGCTTACGAGTTCATGTACTGGTTTGACAGCTAATAATTATATAGACATGAGAAACTACGTAAGATGTCAAACTAGTTATGTACATTTGTATAACTAAATATTCAATTCCCAAATAAAAGCCAAGGTATTTAAAAACCAAGGTAAACTTAAAATTGAAGAGGTCAGACGCAAGGTAAGATTTTAAATTTTCATAAAAAAGATGACACCATGAGATAGGAATGTGAGAGTAGCAGGATATTTGTTGCATCCTGTAGTTCACGATCTGCACACAAATCTGTTTTCTTAAAAGCTGATGACTCCAAGAATCATTTTGCCCTCAGAACTGTGTTAACACAAACACATATTTTTTATGTCCAATTTTGTACGTGAAATTTTATATATTGATGAGGAAAGGTTCATATAAGTTTAATTTTGTTGCATTTAATCTATATTTGTGACTCTTATTGAGAAATTTCACGGACATTGCTGGGCAGTTTTAATTTTGTCCAAATCACCTTTATGAAGACCTTACATATCGGCAATTTGAAGAAAGACAAATTTAAGGTAAGACCATTAAATGAGATTAAAATCAGGGGCATTATATTTATTATTATCATACTTAGTATTGCTAAAGCAATAACATGTCCCCTACCGGCCCCCGCTAGCTAAACACTGTAATGATTTATAAAAATGGTGCCCTTTGGTGTTAATTTGGGGAAATAAAAAGTATACATGTAACTGATTTTAATGTAATAATAATATAAGAAATTGTAATGGTAGTATTATGACAGAGGAAATATATAAAATAAAATTATTGTTATATTTTGTTGCTTTTGTGGTTTTAAATCAATTACCAGCAAGGGTGATTAAGACATGAATATCATCACCAATGTGTAATAACGTGGTACTTATCCAGTTTAATTCAGTTCATTATTGCCCTTTTAACAGTGTTAGGGCCCTTTTATACCATAATGTGTTACATACTATTTCAAATATTTTCAATAAGTGATATGATTAATATTTCTAGGAAATGTAATAGGAAAAAAGATATATATTTTCATTAAGTGTAACCAGTATTCACATGGCCATGACCTTGACCCAACAACCCTTAAATTTGAAATATTTCGAGATATTATGGTCCTTAGTAATTATGTGAAGTTTGATCAAAATCCCTGAAGGATTGAAGCCACTAGAGCCCTGACAATTAATTTTCTAAAAATAGTAACAGTGACCTAGACCCAACAACCCTTAAATTTGAAATTTCCGAGATATTATGGTCCTTTGTAATTGTGTGAAGTTTGATCAAAATCCCTGAAGGATTGAAGCCACTAGAGCCCTGACAATTAATTTTTCTAAAAATAGTAACAGTGACCTAGACCCAACAACCCTTAAATTTGAAATTTCCGAGATATTATGGTCCTTTGTAATTGTGTGAAGTTTGATCAAAATCCCTGAAGGATTGAAGCCACTAGAGCCCTGACAATTAATTTTTCTAAAAATAGTAACAGTGACCTAGACCCAACAACCCTTAAATTTGAAATTTCCGAGATATTATGGTCCTTTGTAATTGTGTGAAGTTTGATCAAAATCCCTGAAGGATTGAAGCCACTAGAGCCCTGACAATTAATTTTTCTAAAAATAGTAACAGTGACCTTGACCCAACAACCCTTAAATTTGAAATTTCCGAGATATTATGGTCCTTTGTAATTGTGTGAAGTTTGATCAAAATCCCTGAAGGATTGAAGCCACTAGAGCCCTGACAATTAATTTTTCTAAAAATAGTAACAGTGACCTTGACCCAACAACCCTTAAATTTGAAATTTCCGAGATATTATGGTCCTTTGTAATTGTGTGAAGTTTGATCAAAATCCCTGAAGGATTGAAGCCACTAGAGCCCTGACAATTAATTTTTCTAAAAATAGTAACAGTGACCTTGACCCAACAACCCTTAAATTTGAAATTTTTCGAGATATTATGGTCCTTTGTAATTGTGTGAAG